CCTGGGGGGGCGGGGCACAGACAGAGGAGACCCGGGCCCTGGGGGGGGCGGGGCACAGACAGAGGAGACCCCGGCCCTGGGGAGGGGACACAGACAGAGGAGACCCGGGCCCTGGGGAGGGGACACAGACAGAAGAGACCTGGCCGTGACCCTAGCACTTGGGTGGGGGGCACAGAGGGAGCAGACCCCGGCTAGGACCTATGCACAGAAGGGCCGAAGAGAGGAGACTCGGGTCCTGACCTGGGCGCTGAAGTGGCACAGAGAGGGAGGAGATCTGGGTGTTAAGAGGGCACGGAGGGAACATAGCCAGCCCCCTGCTGGGCACGGAGAGGAAACCGGGGCCATAGTCTAGCCACTGAGGGGGCAGAGAGATAGGAGGTGCAGACACGCCCCGTGAAACCACGATCCGACCACCGGGGCCATCCGTACCCTGCGCAGAGCGCCGGGACAGGAGGAGAAAACGAGTGGGGCGCGTTGTGAGGGCGCCTGGCTGCGCTGGATCGTCAGGCGCTGGCAGAATTGTCGGAAGAGATTGGAGCAGCCATCAGTCGTTTTCCAGAGCATATCCTTTAAGCATTAATTAGTGATCTGCAAAAGAAGCCCCACTGGCTGTCTCGTCGAGAACGGATTGTGCCAAAGTAACCCGAGTACCTTTTTTTTTTTAATGTATTCAGCTGTTAAGTCCTCATAATGTTTTGTGTTGTTTCTCTAGATTTTTGACAAAGTCAACTAAAGGCAGCCAGGTGGTGCAGTAGATACAGCCCTGGACCTGGAGTCATGAATTCAAACCCAGCCTCAGACACTAACTCTGAGTCCCTGGGCAGATCACTTCATCTCTGTTTCCTCATCTGTAAAATGGGCATATCAATAGCACCTACCTCAAAATACCTAAAGTGCTTAGCACAGCGCCTTTTACTTGGTTGGTGCTTAATAAATGTTTCCCTTTCCTTGTTCCCTGTGTTATTCTCGTGGAAAAGCTGGAGACTGGGGTGGGCTGGATGCTAGCCCAGTTAAGTTTGGAACTGGTAGGAGGACCCAAAGACTACTTGGTTTCTTGTCAGCTAGGCAGAGGCCCTCCAATGAAGTGCTCCAGGGGTGTGTGCTCAGATTTGGTTGGTTTCACATTTTCATCAATGACTTGGCCCGTGACCCTCTATCTCCCATTTCTGTGCATTTGTACATCCTGTCCCTCAAAGCTGGAATCCTCTCCCTGTCTTCTTTCAAGGAGCAAATCCCATCTTCTGGAGAAGTCCCCCCCCCAGCTGCCAATGCCTCCCCTTTGGAGATTGCCTGCCCTCTGTGTGTGTCTTGTCACTTACACCTATGCCCTCATTAGACTGTGTTCTCGCCGAGGTCAGCGTCATCATCTTTGTCAACGGCGTTGTCATCGTGCTGCTGCCTTTCTTTGTATCCCCAGAGCTTAGTTCAGAGTCTGGCACAGGGCAAGCGCTTAGTCAATGCTTGTGGACTGACTATAGACCTGGATGGTATCCCCATCAAACCTGAAGGTGATGCAAAGTTGGGCAGAAAAGCTGCCATGTCCTCCCGAGGTCTAAGACAGACACAAAGTGCCAGTGGACACTGGACAAATGACAGCAGCCTTTAAGTGTTACCAAAGAGTTGGAAACAAAGTGGATGCCTCCTCGGTCGGGGAGGTGGTATACGAAATAATATGAGGACTTGGGGAATTATGGGAAGATCCATGTCTGTATCTCCTGTCTCTCTGCCTCCTTAGTGCCTAGACCATGGCCCAGGTCTCTTCTCCGTGCCCAGCAGGGGCCTGACCATGTTCTCCCCGTGCCCTCTTGGTGCCCATATATCTCCTCCCTCTCTGTGCCACTTCAGCTCCCAGGTCAGGACCTGAGTCTCTTTGCCTCTTCTGTGCATAGGTCCTGGCCAGGGGTCTCCTCCGTCTATGTGTCCCGCCCAAGTGCTGGGTTCTCCTCTGTCTGTGGACCTATGAACTGATAGGTGACTGAGACAAGCAGAACCCGAAAAACCACGGCCCCAACAGTGTCTGTGAAAATATTACTAAAAGGAAGGTGAAGTCTGAGTAACTGAAAAGCCAACCGTGGTTCAAGAGGACAGATAATAACCCATACCTCCCCTCTGAACCAAGAGGGCGGAAGGTTGCGTGCATGGCCAAGTGGGATCCCTGTAGGAGCTGTTTTACTAGAATGATTTTCTTTGTTACAAGGAGTAGTTCTGTGGGGGTGGGAAAGGGGCAACAGTTAGCTTTGATATAGTGCAGAAACAAATATCCCCAATTAAACGTGTAAAGAAAAAAAATTAGAGTCAAAGTTCCATAAAACTTTGACATGCCAGAACACCAAGCAGAATCTGATAAGATAGATTTTGTGTGTGTAGCATTTTTTTTTTTTTTTTGGCAAGGCAATTGGGGTTAAGTGACTTGCCCAGGGTCACACAACTAATAAGTGTCAAGTGTCTGGTCGGAGACTGGATTTGAATTCAGGTCCTCCTGACTCCAAGGCTGGTGCTTCAGCCGCTGCACCACCTAGCTGCCCCAGATAAGATGAAATTTTAAAGAAATAAAGTAATGTCTTACATTTTGATTTTTTTTAAAAACCCACTTCACGAGCACAAGAAAGTTATAGTTAACATCTATATAGCATTTTAAGATTAGCAAAGCACTTTATATAAATGTTTTCTCATTGGATCCTCACAACAACCCTTGGAGGCAAATGTTATTATTGTCCCCATTTTACAGATAACTAACTGAGGCACAGAGAGTTTAGTGATTTACCCAGGGTCACACATCTAGTAAGTGATTGAGGCAGGATTTGAACTTGTCTTCCTATTTCAAGTTTCATGAACTATCTGCTGTGCTCACAACCAGGCAGCCATCAGCCTGAAAAAGAACTGAGGGTTTTAGTGACTGCAAGCCAGATTTATGTCAACAAGCAAAAGAAAGCAAAGAAAAGTCCAATTTTTTTTCTTTTTTTTATTAATTTATTTTGAATTATCAACAATCACTTTACTTCCATAAGCTTTTGAGTTTTAAATTCTTCTCCCCCTCCCTCCCCACCTCCTTCCCCTAGATGGCACACAATCTGATATAGGCAATACATATACATTCCTATTAAACATATTTTCATGTTAGTGATGTTGTAAGTAAGAATTAGAACCAATAGGAGCCACCAGAAAGAGGAAACAAAACACAAGAGAAGAAAAAAATAGCAAATAGTATGCTTCGATCTGCATTCAAACTCCATAGTTCTTTCTTCATATGTGGATAGCATTTTCCATCACGAGGCCTTTGGAGATGTCTTAGATCCTTGTATTGCTGAGAAGGGTTAAGTTTATCAGTATTAGTCATTGCACAATGTGGCTGTTATTGTGTGCAACGTTCTCCTGGTTCTGCTCACTTCACTCAGCATCAGACCATACAAGTATTTCCAGGTTTTTCTGAAGTCTGCCTGCTCATCACTTCTTATAGCACAGTAGTATTCCATTACATTCATATACCACAACTTGTTCAGCCATTCCCCAATTGATGGGCATCCTCTCAATTTCCAATTCTTTGCCACCACAGAAAGAGCTGCTATGAATATTTTTGTTCATGGGGGTCCTTTTCCCGTTTGTTTGCTCTCTCTGGGATAGAGCCCTAGAGGTGCTATTGCTGAAAGAAAGTCCGATCTTAGGATTCATTCAAGGAAACAGCATCCAGAAATAAGGCCTATAAGACCTTCGTAGTGAAAGGGACCTCAGAAGTCACCCAATCTGACCCCTTCATGTTGCAGTGGCCAGGAGTGATGCCCACAGAGATCCAGAATCTATAAAGTGCTGGGATTTAGACCCCAAATCCTCTCACTCCGACCTGGATAGCTTCCCCATCCCCTCCTCACTGTCTCTAAGGAGATGAAGTTCCTGTCGCTTGCCCTGGAGTCTTGTGTTCAGTTCTGGGCACCTTCTTTCAGGAAGGATTTTGCTGAGCTGGAGAGGATGGCGGGAAGACAACTAGAATGGTGAACACCTATTCACCAAACAATATGTGCCTCCTATGTTTTGAGGTGGTGTGCTAAGTGCTAGGTATTTTTTAAGGACCTTACATTTTATTAGGAAACTACAGTAGATACACAAATACATGCAAAGCAGTTTCAAGGAGAGAGTCTCTGCCCTATGAAGGTTAGGTGAAGGAACCAGGTTGGCTTATCCAAAGGCGAAAAGACTCAAGGGGAACCTGAGACCTGTCTACAAGTATATGAAGGACATAGCAATTAGAAATGTTCTCTTTGACCCCAGAGGGCAGAGGGACAAGGGTTGGGGGGGCGGGGCAAATTTAGGCTACAAGTCAGAAAAGAATTTGAAAACCCATTGTATCTCTGAGTTAGAAGCAAGTCTGTATCAGGGGGGAGTTGATTAACCATCAGTGGAGGTCTTCAAGTAAAGTCTGGATGAGGTAAGGGCCCCCGAGGGCTTTTCAATATCTGAGACCCTCTGACTTCAGTAAGTAATGGTACGCTGTCATACACAGGGGCACGATAGAGTGGTGCCCAGGGAACATCAGCTCCCCACATGCCTGCCAGAACTCCTTGTCTCTGCAAAAACAAAGCAGCTCATGACTCTTGGCCTACTTCTTCATGGTCTTGTCATCCTGCTGGAAGGGAACAAATTAATGAGAGAGCCTCCATTCTGCTCTGAGTCTCACCACAGTGGAGGAAATGGGCAGTGGATTGGGAAAGATGGAACCTTTCAGGGAAATGAGTGCTTCAACACCTCAGGATTTGTTAGAAAAGGAGAGGAAAGCCAGACACAGTCTGAAAAAGACCTCAGATTTAGGGAGGAGGTTTTTGGTGTTGCTGGGAAATGATAGAGTCTTCAGAACTAAAACTCAAAGGTGTGGTTAGAACTCTTCAGGATGAAATTCCACCAAGAGGAATAGTCACAGTGAGGAGGAAAAGGGAGGTGTTTTCTAAATACACGAATCTGGCTTCAAAAGAAATTTACTAACCAACTTGGATTTTAAAAAGATGTGTGGAAGGTCAAGGCTGGAGGATGAATATAACCATGGGGCAGGAGCTCATAAGAATGTTTGGAGGGTCAAAATTCAGAACGAGGAAGGCTAAGTAGTATAATAAGGGAAAGCAGTCAGGAGCTTTGTCTTTAGCTGTCCTGAGCATGGTGTGGAGGAAGAGGGAGATCAAAAGAGGGACAGGCTGAAGACGGAGTGAAGGAAGAGCTGCTCACTTTTTTCTTTTGTCTGGGTTTTTCCTCCCAAGAAGAAAGATCTTTGGACAAGAAAGGACAGACCTAGAGAGTGCCTGGCTGCCCTTATAAGTTCAAGTTATCAGGCCAGATGAAGGAAATCTTAGGATCCTGAAAGAACCAGTGGCTATCTTTGAAAGATGTTGGAGAATGGGTTCAGGAAGAAGAAGAAAAATGGCCCAAATTTCAAGAAAGAAGGAAAAACCTGAGTCTGTAATTGGACTTTGATTCCTGGTCAGATTCTAGAACAGCTTCTGAAGAAAGAGCCCTTAGTAAAGGAAGTGATTCAGGATGGCTTCTCTTCAGAACAGGTCCAACCAGCCTACCCTCATTTTCTTTTTGACAGGCCTGCCAGACTACCAGGAGAATGCTGGAGAGAGCATTCGCCTACACTTTAGCAAAGGGTCATTCAGAGTCTCTCAGCTGTTATTGTGGAAAAGATGTGGAGAGATGTGGCCCAGCCACTGGCTGGTGGACTGGAGCCAGAGCGTGGCAGTAAGGGTTCAGTGCCAGCTTGGAGAAAGGGTCTCGAGGCTCCTGGGACCTAGGCTGGTCCCTATACTGTCAAACATTGTGGTCAGTGATTTGGTTAACATGCCTAGCCTGGCACAGTTGGTGTGCTTGCTAACCATGTGTGGAAGGGAAAGTTAGCGCACTGGATGACTCCATATCTGGTGAGAAGGCAGAGCAGAATCTGCTCAGGTGAAATGTGAAAGGAATCCATGTAAATTCTGGTGCTTTGGTTAAAAATAAAACTTCACCAGAAGGGGGAGGCCTGACTAGACAGCAATCTGCCTGGTCAACATCTGTAGTGGGCTAGAGTGGGCTACAAGCCCATCGGGAGCCAATGGTGGGATATGACACCCCCAAAAGCTAGTGTCCTCTTAAGCTGTTAGATGAGGCTTGGAGACAGTCCACTATTTATTGTGACAAAGTGTGACAAGGCCTCCTGCCCTGGTCAGACCACCTCTGGATTGTTATACCCATGTCCTGGGTACACTTCAGGAAGGACATGGAGGGGGGGGGGGGGAGTGTCAAGCCTGGAGGAAGGCCATCAGGACAGTGAGGAAGGGCCCCAGGCTCATACCATTAAAGGATCACTTAAATTATCTGGGAATGATAGCCCAGAGAAGAAAAGACCAGGGAGTGGGGAGCCTGAGACGTAGGGAGTCACCTTGTTCTGCTTGGCCTCTGGGTTCAAAAGAATCTAAATGGGTGGAATCCTGGAGATAAACATTTACGTTTAGTGTAAGGAAATACTTCTTAACCATGAGAGCTGCCCTAGAGGGAATGAACTGCTCCAGGAGGTGGGGACTTCTTTCTTACTGGGGCCCTGCTTATTTCTTGTTCAGGTAAAGGCTGGACCAGATGCACTGAGGCCCCTTCCAGATGCTAGGACCTAAAGGCATCAGGAGGAGGCCTGATACTGGCTGTGGACGAGTGAGTGAGGAGATATCCCCCTGGCTCTAGCCTGGGAGCTGGAAGGACAGAGGGGAAGGAGACGGGGCTCTGTGCTGCACTAGCTGCCAGATTTGGAGATCTGGATCCAGTCCTGGGCATGAAAGAGACCCAAGCCCAATGACGGATACTGAAAGGGGACAGAAAAGAATGAGATTTGGGGTCTACCGATGCTGGGCACTGGAGAGGGACAGAAAGAATCAGGCAGATCCTTGACTGGGCACTGAGGGTGGGGTGGGAGGGAAGGAAGGAAATGGAGATCTGCTGGGCTCTGAGGGCACAGAGAGATCCATGCCTGGGGCACTGAGCTGGATCCCAAAGGGGGAAGGGCTGAGGAACTTGGGAGCCACCAACAGGGTGCAAGCTGGCTGTATGAGCTGATTTTGAAGACCTGGAAGGGGTGAATGGAGACTGGTGATGACACCTCGAAAGGCCCATTGAGATGAACCCAACACCCCCATTTTACAAGTGAAGAAAATGAGATCCAGTGTGTCTCAGTGGTTTGCCTATGCTCCAAAAATTAGTAGCAGACCCAGCGCTGAAACCCATGTCCTCTGCCTCCAAATCCAGTTGTGTCTATCCTGGGGCACTCTGAAGAATCCCATTACCTTGTAGAGTCCCTGCCAGTGAGGTGTGAGAGCCACTTGATGGTGAAACTTCTTTTGCTAGGAAGGGACAGTATATCTCAATAGATGGGCTTCCTGGAGGAGGTGAAATTAGAGTTGAGCCTTCATGATTGGAGAGAAACCAAAAAACAGCTCCAGACACATGTAAAATAAAGTCTTCTTTTTTATTTCAAATCTGAGTTAGTGGTGCTGGTTCCAAGCACAAGGAGCTCTGGGCCCAGGGGCTAGAAGAAATGGGCCAAGGGGAGGTTCTCCAGGGCAGCTGCTCCCAGGAGGGCCCTGAGCTTCCTGGCTCTCATCCTGGTTGGGATCCCTGGACGTGAGCCTTGAATGTTGGTTAGAGAGGACAGGGAACTATCTTCTGATCACTTCCTCAGGGTAGAAAGGACTCCGCCTCTCCTGAGCCAGGCAGAGTATGGCAGTGTTAGTCATCATAGCTAGAAGAATCCTGGCAGGGAAGGGGAAATTTCTCTGGTGAGTGGGCGGTTCCTAGGGATGAAGAGAGACCGCAGAGAGAATGTAAGGGCTGAGACATAGACAGTGATATGGATGGTGGACAGTGAACTCAAGAGACAGAAGGATGAGAGGAAAGGCCAAGAGACCGAGCATTGGACAGAGACAGAGAGACTATGGATTGGACAGAGTGGCCAGAGAGAGACAGGGGGGATAGAAAAGCTGGTAGAGAAAGGAACAGATGAGATTCGGGGATGGAAGATAAACAGAGAGGCTAAGTGACAGAAGGATGCACAGAGAGACCGAATACGTGAGAAGCAATCCAGGGCTGACTGGGACATGAGGCACAGGAGCAGGAAAAGTGCTGCAGCTGGGGCTCACCAGAGGTGGGGGTAGCAGACCCAGCCCAAGGCGGGAGTCTCAGATGGACGACTGCCATTGGACGAAGCGTTTGGATTCCTGTTGGCCCAGAGAAGGGGAGAAAGAGTTAATAAAGCATTTCAGGAGACGCTCTCCCCTACCCCATAGTAAGAAGTCCAGCCCCTGGCCCCTGGCCCCTGGCCCATAGGGACTCAAGCAGGGATGTAGCCCTCAATCTCTGCCCCCTCAGAAACACAGACATGCATCTGATTCCCCATCTTCCCCCTTCTCCCCCACAGTGCATGCCCGCCTGGGAACCTCACATGCCTGAGGGTTGAAGGGATCATCATCTTCTGGGTCATCGTAGTCGTCGCTGGGGGGAGCGGGGCACAGAGCTGGGAAGGTGGCAGGAGGGGAAGTTCCCTCCCCTTCTGATAGATGGGGCCCCCCAGAGTACTGTGTTCCCCTCCCAGGCCCCTGTACATCCTCCACCTCACTGCCTGGCAGTCTGAGGAGTCCTATAGAGCCCTATACACCCTATAATCTCCCCCTTCGTCTTTTAAGGGAACCTCCCGAAACAGGCCCCTTTAGCACCTTATAGAGAATGGTTGGGGCTCTGTCCGTGGTCCTGCATTTGGGGAACCTACCCAACTCAGCCACCCTCTCCCAGTCTCCCACTTCCAGCTGCTTACCTGGATGGGAAATGGGCCCAGGCGCCAGGCAGGCTGCACAAAGCCGTGGCCAGAGCCAGGGCGGACAGCAGGGAGAAGAGGAGCAGGAAGAGGAGGCCCTCCATGGAGTCCTCACACAAGCCCCGCAATGCTGCCCCATAGTCCTGGCGGCAGGGGGCCAGAGTGGGCATCAGCAGAGTTGATGCCTCCCAACCCCCACCCACTTCTCAATTGGCTGCTTGATTTCTCTCACCCCAGCAAAGGGAGTCAGGCAGAGAAACCGTTATGGGATGTTAATTGAGAGACCCACATTCGAGTCCCTGTCTGACTCTTGACTCACTGTTTGACCTTGTTAAGGCCCTTAGTTTCCTCATTTGTACAATGAGGTTCTCCAAGGGCTCATCTGAAATTTTAGGATTCCCAGTATTTACTGAGTCCAGGAGAAGTCAGAGTAGGGGAGGGATCACATACATCTCATGGCAGAAGTCCAGGAAGGCTTCCTAGGGAGTGGGTCACCTGAATTGGGCAGGGGAAGATTTGGAGCTGAAGGGAGGGCAGGGGAACAGTCACAAGGAAGCAGAAGGGGCAGCCAGTCTGAATGGTGAAGGAGGGGGCTTCACAGGAAAAAAGGATGAAGGGGAAGGCAGGGGCTAGACTGAGGGGACCTCAGAGGATGCGTGATGGAGGCAGAAGTGATTCCTGCTTGGGGGGGGAGGGGAGGGAGATGGGGGAAGCAGCTCTGGGCCCAGGGCAGGAGAGATGGGTGTGGGAGAGACTGAGCCCAGGGGCTTCCAGAGAAGACAGGCGGGGGAGGGGGGAGCTGGAAAAGGAATGAAGCAGAAGGTTTGGTCACCTTGTGCAGCCCTCGGCAGTGCAGCAGCGCCACCAGCTGGTGGAAGTTCCCCTCCGTCACGTTCAGCATCTCTTCCAGGGCCAACAGCGGCTTCTGCCTCCAGTCCAGAAGGGGTTAATGCCCAACCTAGAGGGCCCTGCCCTATCCCACAGACCCCTCCCGATTAAGCCCCACCCCCGGAAGGGTCCCCACTGACCTGGGCCGCTGGGAACTGGGGAACTGCCTCACGTTCCAGTCCCTGGAGCTGAGAGTAGATGCTAGCCAGAGATCGCTGGGACAAGGTCAGCCTCTAGGGGAGGTGGTGAGGGTGGGAGGGGGGGAAGGAGGGAGGGAAGCCGACACCTGGGTCCTCTCACCCACTCAGAAACCTCCACTTCAAGACCCAGAAGTCCCAGTCCCAGTCCCCTGCTCTCAGAGACAACATTAGGAACTTGGATATCTGAATCCTTATTCCCTTTCACTCTGGGGACCCAGGTGTCCAGGCCCCACTGCCCTATAACTCTAGGGACCCAAGGAAATTATAGAAATTTCAGAAATTACAACTCCTATGAGGCCCTGGGGCAGAAGAGCTTGGTGCAACTCAGACCCACAATAGCCAAGCCACTCCAAGGGCTTCTAAAAGATGCATTTGTCATCTCCCAGATTGGGGGAGGTGAAGGGGAAACCCAGGAAGGAAAAGAGAAATGAGGGTCTCCTAATCTTGCTCCTCTTAGAGGCTTCAGACCCCACACTCACACTGCCTGGAGACTCACCTCTTGGAAGGGATTGGAAACCACCTGGTTGCAGAGGAAGTAATAGTGGAGGATTTCTGTAGAGGAGGAGGAGGAAGAGAAAGGAAGACAGAAGAGGAAGACAGACAGAGACAAAAACAGAAACAGAGAGGCAGAGACAGAGACAGACAACACCCAATAAGCCTGGGGGCAGAGTGCACCCAGCAGCTGACACTCAACCCTAAAGTTGCCCTCTTCTTACCTGGATTTAGGCCAGTTTCTTCCCTAGTCAGGTTCAAGACATAGGGGTCAGGACTGGAGCAAAAATCACTGAGACCCTGAGAAAGGGTGGGGAAGGAAGAGAAGGGAGTTGCTTGGACCCAACTCAAGAGGCTGGACTCCCAGCCCCACCCCCTTTCTGTGAACCACTACCCTCACCCCGAGCCCAGTCTCAGATACTCACCACAGCAGCAGCTGCCTCTAGCCCCATGGATCCCCAGCTCAGTACGAGAACCAGCAAGCTCATGACTGTCATGCTAGTGCAAAAAGGAAATATTCGTCCATATTTTCCTACCAATTTCTTTCCTTACCGCAAAGTCCTGATGAAATCTTCTCCAAAGCAGTTCACCGCCTAGAGCTACCTATGCCTGTGGACAGCTCCATGGTGCTGAAGGTGCCAGTTGCTGGGTATCCCCTAAGTATCCTCTGAGCCGCTATCCCGGACAGCTCCATGGTGCTGACCGCTTTACCCCTAAGCCCTCCCTCCCTACAGCAGAGAACCCTTCACATCTCTGAATAGGCAGAAGAATTTCAGTGCTTAGCACAGTGTTTGGCACATGGTAGGTCCTTAATAAATGTTTATTGATTGATTGAATTTAAGAAACCTTTGCTGAGGGCCTTCCCAGTGAGATCCCTGGACTCAAACCTACCTGGGTTAGGGTTAGCTACCTGGTGCTGAAGGGGTGGTTTCAGGGGACTGGTGAGAGATTCCCTAAGGTCCCTCCAGCTCAACATCTAGGTTCCCACTTGGGGGCCCCAATCTGTGGAGAGCTCCATGGTGTTAAAGGGGTCAGTTTAAAGACATAGCCCTCAGGTAACAAGAGACCCCATGAAGGAGATTCCAAGCTCTGGCTCTGGAGATAGCTGATGAAGTGGGAGGGGTTGGCAAACTCACACAATCACAAGCCATTTGCTTTGCTTAGCAAGCCCAAGGAGAGTAAAGAGGCAGACAAGGAGATCAAGGAGCAGGAGGAGAATGTAGGCCAACCACCTAAGGAGGAGGACATGGGAGGGAAAGGTCAGGACAAGTCTGGGTTTGAATCCCAGATTTGTCCCAACTTCCTGTGTGCCCTGGGGTGGATCACTGCCCCTCTCTGGGCATTATGCTCCCCATAAATCCAATGGATGTCTCCCACCTGTGACCCAGGTGACCCCACCTTGGCCCACCTGTACTCCTCCACAAAGGAGACACTTTCAGCCACTCGAATTGGGCTCAGGGGCACACCCCTCCAGAAAGCCAGTTCCCCCAGCTGCTGGGCCACAGCCTCAGCCTGCCTCCGGGCACCCCGGGCAGCTGCCACCAGCTCTGTCCTTGGGGCCATCACCTCCTCCAGAGTCGTCAGCTCAGACCTAACTGCTGAGCCCAGGCGTTCCACTGTTTCTGAAACCTGGAGCACAGAAGACACAGCCAGCAGAGGAGATTAGTGTCTGGGTCTCAGGATGAGCAGAAAGGACAGTTATCTGTGACAACTACTGATGTCTGGGAATGAGTAGAGTCCTTGGCTAAATAAAATGGCCTCTATGGAAGGGTCTGAGGAGAAGCAGATTGGTCCGATGGCTAGCTTGGGTGGAAACAGGCTGTGGCTGGACGTTCCAGACCCTTTGGCTGAATCTGGGGAGTGAGTAGGACAGCCTCTGTGTCTGGTTCTGAGGTTACCCCCCCCAACACATATGTCAGGATTAGGATGCCCTCACCAGCCGGTCGATAGAGCTGAGCGTGTGGTTGGCATGCAGGAGGGAGAAGCTGAGCTGGGACACCCCATCGCTGGTCTCACTGTTGCCATAGAAACCGAGCCCGATACCAGCGCTGGGAGGGAGGGATTGGGTAGAGGATGGTTCAGCTCATCTCCCAAGGCCTCCCCATCCTCTCCACCCCCTCTTCTCTAGTTCCAGTGGTACAGCCCGTGGGAACCTGCCTCCCTCAGCCTGGGTTGCTGAGGCAACGGGAAGGGCTCACTCCCCCTGCCTGGGCTGTGGAGGAGAGGAAGGAGAGGTGGGAACACGATGAACTCATTGTGATGCAAATGAAGGGGTTAACCCCTGGAAGCCAAGTAAGCCTCCAGCAGCACCGTTTTGAAGCCCCGCCCCTCAGAGAATAAGGCTGTCAGGACAGCCCTGCCCCCTGCAGACCAGGCATGACCTCTGCCCCAGCCTCCTCCTTCTAGAGGACCTAGGCTGTCCCTTCCCCAGAGGCCCAGACCCCTTCGGGGACCCAAGCGGCTGGAGCCCCCAGTCAGGGAGAGACACAGAGCCCTCATTGTGGACTGGACTCATTCCCTCCTTTCCCAGGGTCCAGCCCCCTTCAATTCCCCAGAGTCCATTGTCCTCGTCCCATTCCATACAAAAGCCCCTTGTTTATTTTCATTCCCCCCCCCCCCCCCACTCCAGGCTGTGCCATTGCCTCCTGGGGTCTTTGTCCTCTTGGCCGCCGCCCCTTCCAAAGGATGGCACTCTGGTATCTGGGGCCCCTATCACCTCCTCTGCCCCCAAAGGAGCTGGTTCTGAGCTGAGGGGGCTGGAGAAGGCCTCTAAGACCCTGCTCAGGGGGCCTGAAGAGCCCTTCTGTGTTTAGTGAAGGGCATGGGAGAAGCCGTCAAAACTCTGTTATGGGCCTGGGGGAATGCTTCAAGGCTTTGTTATATAGGGGATGAGGAGGTCTTCAAGGCCTTCCTCTAAGGCTCTGTTGGGGAGTTGAGGAAGGCCCTTGAGGCTCTCTTGTGGAGGCTGGAAGAAAAAGGCTGTTATAGGGAGAGGAGGGAAGCCTTCCAGGGTCTTCCAGGGGCAGGGGGGAGGGGCCCGGGAGAGCCCTTCATGGCCCCATTCCTGGGACTGGGCAGCTCTTCTAGGAGTCCCCGCCCCCTCCCCACCCATGGGGTCCCAGGTACCAGCCAAGAAGAAGGGCAGCCACACAGCTCCAGGTGACACAGCCTCCTCCATCTGGAGAACCTGAGGCCTCAGGAGGAGCAGCCTTGGGCCTGCGGCAACGACAGCACGATCGAAGTAGATACAGTCCCAGAACAAGCAGGTTCACAGCCAGGCCCAGCCCAGCCAAAGCTGCTACCAGGAGCAAGGCCTGAGAAGAGGGAGGAGGGAGGAGAGAGGGTCCACAGAGCTCACTGATGGACCCACCAAAGACCAGTAGCCCTCATTGTCCCCCTCTGGAAAATGGGTGCAGGAGTGACTTCACGGAAGTAGTAGCCTGAACTGGATTTTGTGTCGTGTACCTGTGACCCTAGATGGGCAGCGGGCAGTGAAGCTCCAGGTGTGACCCTCCTTCCCTGTGAGAGTGAGAAGCAGCTCCCAAAGTGTGTGCGAGTCTGTGTGTGAGCCCAGAGGGAGTTTCTGCCGACCTGAGTATCCTCTTCTGGCAGATCGGTTAGACATCACCCATCTCCTGGTTTCTTGGGACCACAGGACTTGGCCAGTTATAGGGACAGGTGTGGTACCTGCTGCCCTGTGACTGAGCTTTAGAACGGGAGGACTGGGGAAGCATACGTGGGGGAGTTCGTTTCCTGTTGTTTCAAATTGTGACTCTCCTTGAGTCACTGGCTCTGTGTGTGCATCTCTATGTGTGAGTGTGAAACTGAGTGTAACCACATAAATAGCTGTGTGTGGCTGTGAGACTGTCTGTGTGTGTCCAGGTGCGAAGTGTGTGTGTCTATGTGTGTGTGTGGCTATGATCATGATCATTGCTGGCTGGGAGCCTGGCCCTGTGAAGATCCCTCTGTGTGTGACTGTGTCTATATGTGGCTGCATGCAAGTGTGTGACAGCCTGGTGGTGGGGGCCTCCCAGCTCTTCAGTTTCTTTTACTGTGACCTAAATAGTTCAGCATTCACTGCCTGGCTCCCCCTCCCCTGGAGCCCCTGGGGGCCCTTGAGCCAACCAGACTAGCCTCAGCCACCCTCCCAATTAGCCTGGACTAATTAACTAGCCTCAGAGGACCCACTCGTCCCTGCTATCATGACCCTCCCCTAGCTCCCCCCAGACACATATCCAGGTCTCCAAACACCCACCCAGAAAAATCCCAGCGCTTCTCTTTCTACCTTCCCTCCCCCAAGGGACCCAGGTTTCTTCCTCCTAGCCCTTTCCTATGCCACGAGGCACCTGGGTGCCTGATCTCCCAGTCCCCTTGTCTCAGGGACCAAGATGACCCCACCCCTAGGCTCAGCCCCATCTGGGATTAGGCATGCCCTCCCTCACTCCCTCGGGGACCCAGGTGTCTCCTCTTAGCTCCTCCCCCCCCTCAGAAAGACCCCTCAGGTCCCCCAGTCCTGCCCCCTCCAGGATCCCTGTGTCCTCCACACCTGCTGGTAGTCCTGTTCCTGGGGGGCAAAGGTGCTGGCCACTGGTCGGAGCTGAAAGTTGGTGTGGGGTACCTGGTGGAGCAAGTGGACCCAGCCTGAGGGCCGGAAGCCCGGGGGTGGCCCCCCCCATGGCCTCCTGGCCCCCAGAACTGCTCCGGGCGGGATGTGCTGTGGAGCTGAGGAGATGGCCCTGGAGGAGAAGGCAGAGAAGGCAGAGGAGGAGGAGGAGAAAACAGAGCAAGGGTTGGGGGGAGATTTGGGGAGTGGGAGGTGCCAGCTCTTGGGTGGGAGGGGCCAGGGCTCCCCCTGGTGGCCACTGGAGGTTTCACACCTAGCTGGAATGACCAACGGAGAACCAGGAACTCCTGGCTCCCCAAAGATCCTAGGGGAGAGATGGAGGCTGGGGCAAGGTGGAATCATGCTACCAGAGGAGAGATTTGAGACCTCAGCAAGGATTCTGTTCCGAGGAAGAGGGAGATTAGGCAGAGATGGGGGGTCCCTTCCAAGAATACCCCGTTCATAAGATGATAGACCCCATTCATGGACTCACTGGGGGGAAACTGCCCTTAGGGGAACAGAAACCTAACTCCAGAGGGAGCTTCCTCCCCCTGGAGAAGGGACAGGGGAAAAAGCAGATACGACCTTAGGGCAGATCCCACCCAGGCAGGAGGTAGATAAAGCCTCAGACAGCAAGTTTTCAAGCCGGGGGAGACCTTCAAGGCACTGTTATGGGCCAACTTGGAGAGACTTTCAAGGTCCTGTTATGGGGGAGAGGGAGAGTCCTTCAAGGCTCTGCTATGAGGATGGGCAAGGCCTTCAATGCTCCTGCCCTGGGGAGGAGGGAACAGCCCAGTTTCCCGCCCAGCCCCCTGCCCTTCTCCCCTTCCTCCACACAGACTCCAGATTAGTTTGGGGGGGGGGGGGAGACCGAGGAAGGAGGATGAGGGGCGGACTAGAGAATCCCTCCTCCTTGCTCCGCTTGCCTGCCCACGCCGGAGGTTGCGCGGGCCAATCCACGTGGGCATCCCGATGACGTCATCCATTACTGGGCAGGCTAGCTGGCTCTGCTGAGTGGGAAGGACGAGTTTGATGCGGGGGGGGGGGGGGGGAGGCGTTCCAGCCGGACCCCCGCCCGCGCCCTCTGCTCGCTAGCCACCACCCTCTCCAAGGGTCCGCGATTGAGAAAGAGAGGGAGAAAGAGACGGCCTGAGACAGCAAAGACCTCAGAGATAGCTAAGGAGTGAGAGGCATAGAGGGCATAGAGGGAGAGAGAGACCGAGACACAGAGGCAACGACCCAGAGATACAAGGGGTTAGACACGCGTGGCAGGGGAGGGGAAAGAGAGACAGAATATACCCAGAGGGGAGGGGCCAGAGCCCACCCCCACCACACAGGCCTGCAGTCTGCTTAGAGCCTGTCTGGGCCACGTTGGGGAGGAGAACCAGGGCTGGGGTCCTGGGGGAGGCCTTGTCCTGGCTTGCTTTGACCAGTCCTGATGCCATGAGGGTTTTAAAGACACTAAATTCCTCCCATAAACAGTGCAATGTTTCCAGCCAAAAGAAGCGGAGCTCAAACTGGGGCCTGAACTGTCCCCCAGAAGCCAGGACGCTTGTCTGGTTTGGGTCCCCTCTCTCTGGTGATTCCCCGTGCCCCTTTGAACCATCACACACACCCACCGACTCTCACGCTCTCCCTCCCCTGAGTGCTATTGAAAGGTAACTGGCCTGGACCCCGGTCAGAGGCTGGGCCTACTTAGAGACACATCCCAGACGTCCGATTTTCTGAGTAAACCATCATCTGTCCTTCCTCCTCCCAAGGTCTGGAGCCACCATGGCCCTACTCTCAATGATCTGCTATGCCTCAGTGAATCCTGGGCAGGGGGAAATTGGCAGCACCCTGTTGGGGACTTTCAACTCTGGAATGGACTTAGAGACCACCAAGTTGGGCCGGAGGTGCTGGCTCCCCCTTTACTGAGCCCAGTGAGGGGAAATGACTTGTCCCAGGACATAGCCAGGTTTTGAACCCTGGTTCCCTGGTGCCCAGCCAGCCATCTCAGATCAAACCCCAGGCCAGGCCTCTGGGCCCTCTCTGAGTTTTATGGGAAGGACACAAGGACCCGTGTCTCCATCAGGGCTATGTCAGGGGGTGAGGACAGGGGATGCTGGCCTGGCCTGAGGAGGGTGACCTCAGAGGGCCACTGAGGCTATAGCTGACAGGGACAGTGTGGAGCTGGGACTTCAGGGTCTGAGTCTCTTCCAAAACCAGTCCCCAGACTGACTCTCTGGGCTGAGCCAGGCTCTCTGGTCCTCAAGGGGAATATGAACCTTCGGGGTCCAGGATGTCCTGAGGTCAATGGGGACAGCAGCAGAAAGTAGGATGTGTCAGGGGCTTGGGGATAGGCAGTTTTCCTACTTGCTGAGGCAGAAAACATTGGGGGAATGGTCCCTATGGCTCTGCCAGTCAATGATTTCCTTGGTTAGAGGTGAGGGATGTCTCGGAGCTATTGCTGTCCACTGAGGGGCTGGGCTCCATATTCCCCAGCAGGCTGGCCCTTCTGCCCAACCCAGCCTGGGCCTCAGGTGCCACAACACACTCGGATGTGCTCCTCCTGCCCTCCTCCCCACTTCTGTCTCTCCCCTCTCTTTCCTCCTTTACCAGGGAGCCAGATCTAATCTGGAGTGGAAAAGAAGCCAATCTCAGCTCTGACCCTGGGACATAGGGGTCTCAGCCTGGGTTCTCTGAGGGGCTGGAGGTTAGGTGAGGAAGACTGCCAGTCTGACCTTCTCTGTGAAACCAGGAGAGGGAGGGGAGGATGGAACACACACACACACACACACACACACACACACACACACACATACACACACACACACACACACACACAGGAGACCATAGCCCAAGTTTGGGAGGAGACTCCTGCTGTCCTCCAGGGTTTCCTGTATAATAGGGCTTCCCTTTCAGTCCTGCTCAACCCCAGGTGGCCTCTGGACAGAGCACGTCTCTCTGTCCGTCAGAGGAAAAGTTTGATGGCTAGGTCTTGAAATGGACAGATGCCTGGACCTAGAGTCAGGAAGACCTAAGTTCAAATCTAGCCTCAGACACTTACTAGCTGTGAGACCCTGGGCAAGTCACTTAACTCCTGTCTGCCTCAGTTTCTTCTTCTATAAAATGAGGATAATAGTAGCACCTACCTGGCAAGCTGACTGTGAGGATAAAATCAGATATTTGTAAAGCACATAACACAGTGCCTGGCCCATAGTAGGTCCTATAGAAATGCTAGCTATTATTCTTATTGCAGAAGGGGTGAATCTACGGGTGTCCTGGTAATACCAAAGGGAATCTCCGGCCACTTGTCCATCGTGGCTCTGGAGGGGTTTACAGACAGAACATTTTTTACCATCTTCATTCCCTTCTCTCATGATCCACCATCCGGAGCTCAGGCTCATAGGGGAGGGTGAGAGGGCCACAGGTTTGCAACATCCCCCATCCCTCCCCACCTTATCCAGTCTGGCTACTCAGCACCCTGGCCAAGGGGATCCTGGAGCCCACTTGGCCCACAAACGCTCTGAGGCTGGGACAGGAAGTCTCTAAGCCCGAGGAAGGGCAATGAGGGCCCCAGGATGGACCCTGAAGGGCCTCCCCTGCCCTCCCACCCTGAGCTTCACCCCTGGTCCCCCTAGATGTAAACAATCTATCTTCTGGGCCCAAGTGGAGAAAGAGGTGGCCCTGGTCCCTAGTAGGATTCTGCCTCCCAGCTCCTGGGAAACCTTGAGAGCTAGCCACCAGGACGGAGGCTCTACTGTGGGGGTGGGGCATTCCCACCCAAGGGGGTTAGTGAGGGGAGGTGGTAGGGAGAGGTTGAGGAAAGTAAGTCAAAGGCTTGGGAAGCATGGGAGACCAGGGAGGTGATACTCCTTCCCCCTCCGAACCTGCCAAACGGGATCCCCCTTAACAACCCACACACTGTTCCCTGGGCCTCTGACCTAAACAGACTGCTCTTGGAATCTGTCTTCCCTCCCCTCATTGTACCCCAGGTGGAAAAAGAGAACCCTACATAAGACTCAAACTCCTTAACCCAATGAGTGAGGGTAACTACAGAACGCTAGTTGTCATGTTTCTCTGACATCCTTGCCTGCTTGGGCCTGGTCCAAATGGGGAGAGAGACGCAAGAGAGCGGACACACAGAAAGACCGGGGAGACAGGGGAAGGGGGTTGCAGCTGCCAGAGTCTTGGGGAGGTCACTAGAGAAAGGAAGAACAGAGCTGGGGGGATGGGTGTGGGGTGATGGGAGAGACAACTCCAGCCCCTCAGCTTTCTCAGGTCTTGATTTACAGGTGACCCTGTGGGACTCCACCCTGTCATCAACACAGCCAGGCTAACTGGCCTGAGTCCCAGGGTGTCTGCATGTATTCCAGTCCCTGCCTCCCCCAGGCCTGAGTTAGGGGGGTTGTCTCCCCTGTTCTCATCTCAGCTTCCATAAGGGGAAGATACTTGAGGTACCCTCCCCAAGGAATATACTTTTTTGCCCCTAACTCTGCTTCTGAGTGAGGTTAGTGACTCAGGGCTATGTCTCCAAGCAAAGAAAGAAACTCAAATCTCAGAGCAGCTCTGTGGCACAGTGGATAGCATCCCAGTCCTGGAGTCAGGAGGACCTGAGTTCAAATGTGATCCTTGGTTTGCCTCAGTTTTCTCATCTGTAAAATGAGCTGGAGAAGGAAATAGAAAACCAGTCCAATTATCTTCACCAAGAAAACCCCAAATGGGGTCGTGAAGAGTGGGACAACTCTTCATGACTCAACAACACAATATGCTGGGCACCGTGCTAAGCATTTTCATAGATGACCTCTCACAACAATCGTGGGAAGCACAGTGCTATGATGATCTCCATTTTACAGCTGAGGAAACTGAGGCAGACAGACATTAAGTGACTTGGCCATAACCCAACAGCTGGTAGATACCTGAAGGCAAATCTTAACTCAGATCTTCCTGACCCCAAACCTGTACTCTGGGCCACCCACTGAACCCACTGTCTCTGCTTCGGTTGCTCTAGCCAGGCTGGCTATGTTTCCCCAGGGTGGGTCCTTGCCAGGAGCAGCATGCCCCGGAGTGTGGGAGGTGTATGTCTGGGCCTCTGGAGACCCAGGGTCCTACCCTCTCATCCCTTCTCCTTAGCAAGGAGGGGAGGAGGCTGCACTGAGTTTTAATGAGTAACACCCAGTGATTTTTTTCATGAGGTGTGAACACTTCTACAAGTCAAGAAAGGAAAGAGGAGGTCCTCTGAGCAAACAAATTAGCCTCATCCCTGAGGGTTTAGAAAGGAATTTGGAGTGGTCTGTAGAGGAAATGCTTGCGGGAATGAGAGGAGAATTTCACTGTCTCCTCCTGCCTCCTCCCAGTCTAGCAGCTTTGAAGGGCAGCTAGGGAGTGCCATAGTGTATAGAGCGCCAGACCTGAAGTCAGGAAGACTCACCTTCCCCAGTTCAAATCTGGCCTCAGACACTTACTAGCTGTGTGACCCTGGGCAAGTCACTTCACCCTGTTTGCCTCAGTTTTCTCATCTGTAAAATGAGTTGGAGAAAGAAATGGCAAACCATTCCAGCATCTTTGCCAAGAAAAAGTCAGCCACGAAGTGTCAGACGTGACTGAACAACAAGGCACATATCCCTCAGAAAACAGGCACATACAAACACTCAGAAGATACAAATTACACACGAAGGAAGGCTATTTATAAATTTATTAAATGAACACCTAGGTGGTTTTTTTTCTGAGTTTTTTTTTTATGCT